AAGGGCCAAAACAAGGCGTGGATTTTTTAAAGATTATTTTTAAGGGCCAAAACAAGGCGTGGATTTTTTAAAGATTATTTTTAAGGGCCAAAACAAGGCGTGGATTTTTTAAAGATTATTTTTAAGGGCCAAAACAAGGCGTGGATTTTTTAAAGATTATTTTTAAGGGCCAAAACAAGGCGTGGATTTTTTAAAGATTATTTTTAAGGGCCAAAACAAGGCGTGGATTTTTTAAAGATTATTTTTAAGGGCCAAAACAAGGCGTGGATTTTTTAAAGATTATTTTTAAGGGCCAAAACAAGGCGTGGATTTTTTAAAGATTATTTTTAAGGGCCAAAACAAGGCGTGGATTTTTTAAAGATTATTTTTAAGGGCCAAAACAAGGCGTGGATTTTTTAAAGATTATTTTTAAGGGCCAAAACAAGGCGTGGATTTTTTAAAGATTATTTTTAAGGGCCAAAACAAGGCGTGGATTTTTTAAAGATTATTTTTAAGGGCCAAAACAAGGCGTGGATTTTTTAAAGATTATTTTTAAGGGCCAAAACAAGGCGTGGATTTTTTAAAGATTATTTTTAAGGGCCAAAACAAGGCGTGGATTTTTTAAAGATTATTTTTAAGGGCCAAAACAAGGCGTGGATTTTTTAAAGATTATTTTTAAGGGCCAAAACAAGGCGTGGATTTTTTAAAGATTATTTTTAAGGGCCAAAACAAGGCGTGGATTTTTTAAAGATTATTTTTAAGGGCCAAAACAAGGCGTGGATTTTTTAAAGATTATTTTTAAGGGCCAAAACAAGGCGTGGATTTTTTAAAGATTATTTTTAAGGGCCAAAACAAGGCGTGGATTTTTTAAAGATTATTTTTAAGGGCCAAAACAACTCGTGGATTTTTTAAAGATTATTTTTAAGGGCCAAAACAAGGCGTGGATTTTTTAAAGATTATTTTTAAGGGCCAAAACAAGGCGTGGATTTTTTAAAGATTATTTTTAAGGGGCCAAGATTATTTTAGGGGCCAAACTAAGTCGTGGATTTTTTAAAGATTATTTTAAGGGGCCAAACTAAGTCGTGGATTTTTTAAAGATTATTTTAAGGGGCCAAGATTATTTTAAGGGCCAAATACCAGATGCTACTTTCACTTACCTAAAAATGTATTATTTTTTTTTTCAAAAAATAAAAAAACGTCCCTTTCATTTTCATTTGCAATTGTTGTACGCTTCATTATTTATTTGAGTAAATTGTACATGAGTGTATGTCACATTAGAATATTTGTTGTAGTATTGTTTTATTATTTCTTTATATATTTATTTAATTTTATATATAACTATTTATATACTAAATATATAAGTGTATGTTATAGTTGTTGTAATATGTCCGCCTGAATGTGTCTCTTAATTTGTTATGGCGTATCTTTTTATTTTCTTCTAGTTCTTTTTTTTCGTTTTAGCTTTCTTCTAATTGAGTTGATTTGTTGTTGTTTTTTAATAAGATATTGATTGATTTGTTTTTGGTACGAATTGTTGTTTTTTTGTTTCAATTTATTTCTATTTTTATTAATATTATTTGTTTTTGTATCTGTATTAAATTATCATCATTTGGTTTGAATACAACTAAAATAAAATTGATTTTCTTTTTTTTAGTCTTTTCTTATTATCATCGTACGTTTGTTTTCTAAGTTTGTTTTTATTTTTTATTTACATTTCTAGAATGCTTAGGTATAGCTAGATATATTATTGAAATCAAATATGAATAAAGCTAGAGTAAAAGTAATACTAGAAATAAAAAAACTAAAAGTGCGTAATAATAATAAAAATATTATTTGGAAAAAATGTCTTCAATACACAGGAATCTAAAGCTGATACTTATATACTTTTTGTATGGGTTCTTCTCTTTTTTCCGAAGGTGATTTTCGAGAGAGCGGGGTGGTGAACAGATATAGTTTTTTTTTCCTAACATAAAAAGAGGTATTTTTAGGACATTCAACAGAAGCAAGGTCGTGGATTTTTTAAAGAATATTTTTAAAGGTCAAATATCGCCGTGGTATTCTTAAAGAATATATTTAAGGGTAAAATACGGGCGCGGATTTTTTTAATATTTTTACGGGCCAAATATAGGCGAGTATTTTTTAAAGAATATTTTCAGGGTCCAAATATGGGCGCTGATTTTTTAAAGAATATTTTAAGTGCCAAATATGGGCGCGAATTTTTAGAAAACAATTTTAAGGGCAAATATGGGCGTGAATTTTTAATAAGTATTTGCTAGAGTTAAATAAGAGCGTGGATTTAAAAAAAGGCCAAATTTTGGGGGGATATTTTTAAGGGCCACGTAAGAGTGTGGATTTTTCATAGAATATTTTAAGGGCCAAATATGGGCGTGGATATTTTTTAAAGGCCAATATGGTCGTGCATTTTTAAAGAATATTTTCAAGAGGCCAAATATGGGCGTGGATTTTTTAAAGAATATTTTTAAGGGCCAAAAATGGGCGTGGAATTTAAAAAAAATGTTCTTAAGAGCCAAAAATGGGCGGGATTTTTTTAAGGAGTATTTTCAAGCCCCAAAAATGCGCGCGGATTTTTTAAAAATATTTTTATGGAGCCAGATACGGGAGTGGATTTAAAAAACAATTATTTTTAAGACCTACAAACTCTTCTTTGGACCTTCAATCTCTTCTATGGTTATAGAAGACCAAGAAGCTCTTCTTCTATGGACATAGATGATTTTTTAAGTCCATAGAAGACCAATTAGCTCTTTTATTGTCATTTTGAGACCTTCAAGCTCTTGTATGGGCATAGAAACGCTTCTAAATCCATAGAAGACTTCCCAGGTTTTCTATGGGCATATAAGAAATAGCGGCTCTTTTATGGGCATAGAAGACCTTGAGCTCTTCTATAGACATAGAAGACCTTGAGTTCTTCTATAGACATAGAAGGCCTTGAGCTCTTCTATAGACATAGAAGACCTTGAGTTCTTCTATAGACATAGAAGGCCTTGAGCTCTTCTATAGACCTAGAAGACCTTGAGCTCTTCTATAGACATAGAAGACCTTGAGCTCTTCTATAGACATAGAAGACCTTGAGCTCTTCTATAGACATAGAAGACCTTGAGCTCTTCTATAGACATAGAAGACCTTGAGCTCTTCTATAGAATTAGAAGACCTTGAGCTCTTCTATAGACATAGAAGACCTTGAGCTCTTCTATAGACATAGAAGACCTTGAGCTCTTCTATAGACATAGAAGACCTTGAGCTCTTCTATAGACATAGAAGACCTTGAGCTCTTCTATAGACATAGAAGACCTTGAGCTCTTCTATAGACATAGAAGACCTTGAGCTCTTCTATAGACATAGAAGACCTTGAGCTCTTCTATAGACATAGAAGACCTTGAGCTCTTCTATAGACATAGAAGACCTTGAGCTCTTCTATAGACATAGAAGACCTTGAGCTCTTCTATAGACATAGAAGACCTTGAGCTCTTCTATAGACATAGAAGACCTAGCAGCTCTTCTATGGGCATAGAAGACCTAGCAGCTCTTCTATGGGCATAGAAGACCTAGCAGCTCTTCTATGGGCATAGAAGACCTAGCAGCTCTTCTATGGGCATAGAAGACCTAGAGCTCTTCTATGGACATAGAAGACCTAGAGCTCTTCTATGGACATAGAAGACCTAGAGCTATTCTGTGGACATAGAAGACCTAGAGCTCTTCTATGGAAATATAAGACCTAAAAGCTCTTCCATGGACATAGAAGCCCTTGAGCTCTTCTATGGACATAGAAGCCCTTGAGCTCTTCTATGGACATAGAAGACCTATCAGCTCTTCTATGGACATAGAAGACCTTGAGCTCTTCTATGGACATAGAAGACATTGAGCTCTTCTATGGACATAGAAAACCTAGCAGCTCTTCTAGGGACATAGAAGACCTAGCAGCTCTTCTATGGACATCGAAGACCTTGAGCTCTTCTTTGGACACAAAAGACCTTGAGCTCTTCTATCGACACAGAAGACCTTGAGCTCTTCTATCGACACAGAAGACCTTGAGCTCTTCTATGGACATGGAAGAACTTGAGCTCTTTTATGGACATAAAAGACTTAGCAGCTCTTCTATGGACATAAAAGACCTAGCAGCTCTTCTATGGACATAGAAGACCTGGCGACACTTCTATGGACATAGAAGATCTAGCAGAAGACCTTGAGCTATTCTATGGACGTAGAAAACCTAGCAGCTCTTCTATGGACATAGAAAACCTTCAAGCCCTTCAATGGCCATAGATGACCTGGCGGCACTTCTATGGACATATAATACCTTCAAGCTCATTGGTGCTTTTCTATAGAGATAGATGTCCTTGGACCACTTATATGAACCTTCCAGATATTCTGTGGATAAATGAAGAGTGTTGATCTCATCTTTGGACCTCCATTGCGTATATAGACTTATTATACCCTTTAGTTCACTATTTGGGATTGAAGACGATTTAGACCTTCTATGTCCTCCAGCCCTGCTATAGACATTCTTTTATGAGTATTAAAGGCCCTTCAACTTTTCTGGGTCCCTGGCAGAAGCTTCAGCTCCCATGTGGACCAAACAATGGCTCGGGTCTTTCTTTTAATGACCTCGCATATATTTTTGGGCTCTTTTTTTAGATACTGAAGACCCTATGTTCCTCCGTGAATCTTGTTCTTTTCCTATTCTACCCGCCACAAAATCACCTTTCCTTTGGGGGAAAAAACTTTACAAATATAGGCTAAACTAAGCTAAACTAAGTTTGGTACAATATAAGGTAATACAAGTTCGGAATGATGCTCCCGCAGCAGCATCCATTCAGATATCTCAAAATATCTACGTGTTTGAGAGTGTGTGTGGAATTAATAAAAATGGAATTGTTGAAGTTATTAATAAAATTTTGTTTTTAGGTTCAGAGCATTTTTCTAACAAAGGAGAAAAATAATCGCATGGTATGGTCAGGACAAATCTGGATGGGTGTTCACATGTTAACTATATGTCACATAGCCTAAGGATCTTCTTCTTGTTCCTCATTTTTGCAAATATCCATGGGTATGGTCGTTGTATTGCCATTCCGTTCCACGGGAGGTTTTCTCAAACGCAACAATACCGGATAATGGAGATCGGCATCATAAAGTGTTGAATTCATCAGCTCCAGATGGCGTTTCCATATGGTCTCATTGTAGCGTTGTGTTATGGATACCATAAAACCATATTTTACAGATTCTTCAATGAATAGAGACATGGTTTTACCACGGCGTGGTGCCATAACCAATGCCTCACCTTGCTGCGAAAGATAATACCAAATGGTGTCCACGAGGGCAGAACGAGCCTCATCAAAGAATAGACAATCGGCCGAGAGGATAACATCAAATTTCCCAGCTTCTGTGGGCGAGCGAGCCGTCTTATCCTCCCACTTGAGTACGGAACATTTCGTATAGCAAGACATTTCATTGAGGCAAACAGTCTTTTTGACATTCTCCACTGAGACTTCATTGCCATCGGTCAGGTGGACAGCATAGGGTTTGGCATATTTCGATAGCATAAGGCCGGAGAGACAGGTGAAACCACCACCCAATTCCAATATCCATTTGCCATTATACGACGCCAAATCGGAGAGGACAAAGGCCGTCAATGCTTCCTCGGAGGGCCATACACAAATATTGCCCGTATTATTGAAACCCATTAAATCCGATGCCGTTAAATGGCGATCCATGTGATGGATATTTACAGTAAACTCCTGATGCGTGGAACTACTACCGGTATCCAATATCACCTTGTATTTATACCAATTTTCCGCTTTGCCCAAATAATTTAAGGTACTGTGATCTTCAAAGCTATCCTGACGCAACAAATCGAATGACTTAAAGCGACGCACTGAGGCATTTTGTTCCGGCGAACATTCTTCGCCCGATGACGACACCGTCTCTTCGGAATCTTTGCGCAAGACCTTGGCGAGAATTTTCCAACGTTTACGGGCAGTGTTTTGTGTGACTGGTGTGGCTGGTGGTGTTAGAGGTAGTACGGCTTTAATATCATCACATTTTACCATAAGCGGTTGTAATTTTTGACTAGAATTGGAATTCATAATTATTGTACTGCTAGGTTCGGTGTTATCGACAGTAGTCATAGTGGGGGAAATGGTCGACGGCACCTGCTTTTCTGTGTTACTCATTTGTTGCATTGACAATGGAGGTTGGGGTTGTGAAGGTGGTGGTGGTGACGGTGAAGGTGTTGGTGGTGAGGGTCTTAACGGCGCTTCTTTGGTCTTATAAATTTTCTTGGTCTGACAATTTTCTTTAATTGAATTTAGGGTATTATCAATGTCATAATCCCACATTATTGATATGGATGATAGTTGTGGTTGTTGTTGTTGTTGCTGGTGCTGTTTTGTACTGTCGTCCACCGCCACGCTTGAGGTTTGTACTGCTGATGTTGACATTATTTTAGAATTTTAGATTCGAGGAGATTCTTGGTTGAGTTCGATTTTTTTGGAATTGGGTTTCTGATATGACTTTTAAGGTTATAGATATAGAGATAAAGAACGAGAGTGAGAACCCGTCAATACTCTTTGTAATCCATTCAAAAAATATTTAGTGTTGGATAGTAGTGGAGTGCCATAAATTGGGAGTAATTTGATAAAAATGTGGTACCAACCTGAAAAGAAAGAAAGAATGAAAGTGTTTGATTAGTTGATTTGCAATTTTGTTAATGAATTATATATATATATATATATATACATTTATATAGAATTTCCCTATTGGGTTCTGTTATGGTAGCTATTCCTTATAATTACAATTTCATTTTTTACTGATGGGGGTTTTCAGAATGCCTTCTGGGTACAATTTTTTCACAAAAATTACATTTAATATTTTATTTTGTATTGGAGTCCATTATATAGCTTTAGGTCCTGCAATGGTAGTTACTCCTTTCCCATGCCTTTGAAAAATTTATAATGCACACATGTGCGGAATATTGTCACCCAAAATATTCCAATTCATAGGTACTGCACATTTGTACTATATATAGCTTTTGATTCTGTTATGATAGCTACTCCTATCTATTTAAATTTCAATTTTTATTGATGTATGTTTTTCCATTGGAAAATTCGGTTTAGGTTTAGATATAGCTGTCATATATATTTTCGTCCGATTTAAGGTAAATGGTGCACCAAAGTACCTAAATATCGTTCGATTTGCACGAAATTTGGTACAGCGTACTTAATTAAGTCTAGAACGATGTGTGTTAAATTTCGTGAAAATCGGTTCAGATTTCGATATAGCTCCCATATATATTTTCGTCCGATTGTGTAAATGGTGTACCAAAGTCCCTTTATATCCTTCGATTTTCACATATTTTCGTCCGATTTAAGGTAAATGGTGCTCCAAAGTACCTATATATGTTTCGATTTGCACGAAATTTGGCACAGCGTACTGAATTAAGTCTAGAAAGATGTGTGCTAAATTTCGTGAAAATCGGTTCAGATTTCGATATAGCTCCTTTATATATTTTCGTCCGATTTTAGGTAAATGGTGCACCAAAGTACCTATATATCTTTCGATTTGCACGAAATTTGGTATAGCGTACTCAATTAGGTCTAGAACGATGTGTGTTAAATTTCATGAAAATCGGTTCAGATTTAGATATAGCTCCCACATATTTTTCGTCCGATTTTAGGTAAATAGTACACCAAAGTCCCTTTATATCCTACGATTTGCACGAAATTTGGCACAGCGTACTGAATTGAGTCTAGAGTAATGTGTACTAAATTTCATGAAAATCGGTTCAGATTTAGATATAGCCGCCATATATATGTTGGTCCGATTTTATGTAAATGGTGCACCAAAGTCCCTTTATATCCCTCGATTTGCACGAAATTTGGCATAGCGTACTGAATTAAATCTAGAATGATGTGTGTTAAATTTCTTGAAAATCGGTTCAGATTTCGATATAGCTCCCATATATATTTTCGTCCGATTTTAAGCAAATGGTCCACGAAGTCCTTATATAACTTTTGATTTGCTCGAAATTTGGTATAACATACTGAATTTAGTCTAGAACGATGTGTGTTAAGTTTTGTGAAAATCGGTTCAGATTTAGATATAGCTCCCATATATATGTTCGACCGATTTAATGTAAATGGTGCACCAAAGTTCCTATATATCCTTAAATTTGCACGAAATTTGGTATAGCGTACTGAATTAAATGTGTGCTAAATTTCGTGAATTCGAATTCGCTGTAATTTGGTACTTTGTAGTCGCAGATTCTGAACGAATCTCCCTACCATCCATTATTAATATTCGTCCTATTTTAGTTAGCTAATTAGTTCCGTGTGTTTGGGTTGCACCCATATAAGCGTATTCTACCATAGTATGGGGGATATTTTTTACTCGAAATTGTCAGTTTTTACCCCACAAAGTATGGAATTCTAAGACGATTTAACCCTCTGTTGTAATCATTCCTCCATCTCGTGATCATTCCTCCATCGTGATAACAAAAAAACACAAACCTGACGCTTGCTTGACTTTTCTTCCCTATCTTCCAAAGAAGAGTTTTTTTGTTACTTTTTTTTTTTTTTGTTTTTGCGAAATAGTCAGGCTTAATCCCAGTTTGTTGTTTTTATAAAAAACAACTATTTATTAGTGGGGAATGTATGGCAGTGTCCGCCGAGGGGTAAGGCAGGGAAGACTATAGTTTCGGATCTCGCCACTGATCCTCATCAGTTCCCTTAGTTTTTTGTTGGGATATTCTCCCCAGAAGCTATTAATAGCTTCTTTACAAAAAACCTTTCAAACCCAAATGTCTCTTGTGACAATTCGAAGTTCTTACGTTACCAGCGATACGACCCCAATGAGAAGTTCGTTTCGTTGGCGCCTGACTTCGTGGTCAACAAGGCATTTACAGACAACTACAATACATACATTCCCCACTAATAAATATTTGTTTTTTATAAAAACAACAAACTGGGATTAAGCCTGACTATTTCGCAAAAACAAAATACAAATGGTATCCCAAATAACCCGCCAAACACTACTGTTTTTTTGTTACTCTTAAGAAAGAACTTGCAGAATGGCGTTTGGATGGAATCCAAACGCCATTCTGGTTATGCTATGGATATTTTTCCTTAAGGTGTGGACAATCCATCTTCATTTCCTACGATTAATCTGTTTTTGTATGGGTTTCTGGTTCGTTAGGTTCCACAGTTCTACGTTACTTATGGTGTTGGATCAGAATATTCTGCTGATGATACTGAGGTATCTGTTTATGAATACCTGTTTCTTTTTGGTGATTGTACAGTATATATCGGATATAAGCACATCTCATATAAGAAAAAATCGCATATAAGAAAAATTATCAAAAAACACCGAGCTTATACTTTCTTATATCCGATAATTCCATATAAAAAAAACGCTTATATCCGATATCTACTGTATTTCTCACAAAACAGCCGTAAGCAGAATCGACTTTATATATGCTTCAAATATTTTAAGTTTGGTTTTCCTGGATATATGTGAGCTTCTCCATACATCTCGCTCGCCTAAATCTTATTTCTGCACCACCAATTGTTGTTACAGTGCTTCCGACATGGCAGAAGCTATCGACGTATTCAATTGCTTGGCGTAGAACAAAATAGACGCTGATAAAATTATCCTGAATTCGCCTTTGAGTTCCGTTATGGTAGCTAACCCTTGTCATTCCAAAGAACTCTTAGAAGTAATAATTCGGAAATATGACGTGATCTCTTTTTTGTTTTTCTGTAGCTATTGTATGTATTTTCAGAGATTATATTTCTACCGTAAAATCGAATGACGATTCTTTATACTAATGAAATCTTTATCAAGCCTCAAACTTCTTATTTAACGGACTTGGACCCGCCGATTTTTCCTCTTTCCAAAAAATAAAGACACAACCCTTCCAGGTCACTGTGACTAGTATTGTGTTTATTATTAGTTTTAGTTTATGTAGTTTTTAAGAAAAAAATATTTTACAATAAAACCAGAATTTAAACAGCATACAAAGTGAAAGGTTGGCTATTTTCTTTCCATTTTTTGGTCCTTCGAGTCGGATTCTTCTCGATTGAATTGGGCAATTTCGTTCCTGAAGTGGCTTGGTCTTTTTCAGTACACTCCGCAAAAGGGAGTAGATCAGGTAAATTTAATGATGGAAAAAATCTATGTGAACTATTGAATCAATGCGATATCAAAAAGAGAATACTGGAACAAACGGAACTAGATGAACGGAAGAACCGAATCTAGAACCGATCTTTCATTTTGCGGAATGGTTTATTGGAACCAGTTCGTACGGCAAAACCCCAATTCTATGTAACTTCTGAGAAGGATTATTTTGAAGAGAACAATATAGATATTGATGAATTAAAACAGAACGATTGGAATAAAAGGAACTAGATGAACGAAAAAACTGAAGCTAGTACCAATCGTTCCTTTTTCGGAATAGTTCTTTGGAAATAGTTCGTTCGGAAAAATTCAAATCTATATTAAATCTTAGGGTCCCCCTTGTTCGATGGGAGACATATTACATATTTTTTGGAATAATTTAAAATATGTGTTACGATTAAATATCATCGATATTGAGAGAAGGCATTCTAACTTTCAACTTCGATTGGAAATTGTGATTTTCTAAAATCCAATTTTTTAAATATATTTTTATTAAATTTTTAAATATTTCTAAATTTTTTAAATTGCGAATGATTTTTTCCAGCCGCATTTTAGCTGTAGACATTTTTGTTTTTGGCTCATATTGCATGCTGCTGTTGATGATAAAAATTCTGGCAATAGATATTTTACAAGTTTTAGTTGACATTTGTACATGCAGTTTTTGGGGTACACATAAGTACGAATATATAGCATTTCCACATTAAATGAAACCTTTTACAAATTAAATGAACCCTTTTCCAAATTAAATGAAACCTTTTCCAAATTAAATGAAACCTTTTCCAAATTAAATGAACCCTTTTCCAAATTAAATGAACCCTTTTCCAAATTAAATGAAACCTTTTCCAATTGAAATGAAACCTTTTACAAATAGAATGAAACCTTTTACAAATAGAATGAAACTTTTTCCAAATTAAATGAAACCTTTATTCTTATCTAAGGAAATATAATATTTGCAGTAATTTTAAACCAATATTTCAAAATTAAATCAAAGAATATTAACAACTGTAGTTGTATGGCTATGTAATTAACATAAATATTCTTTAATTCAGTGTGATTTCATTTAATATCTTTACTACATAAAACTAATAAATAGTAATACAAACTGGGGTATTTCTTGACATTTTAATAAATAAATATTTAAGAACAAGAATTGAATATCCGGTCCTAAATGCGAAATACATATTTGACTTAATAAATTGTTGGTGATAAGGTAACTGATTATCTTAATGAAGGGGTTCCCGACTTGCAGCTTGTGGGATTTTCAAAA